TAAAAAAAGTAGAACTGCAGTATAGCAGTCAAAATGCCAACTTTTAAAGCCCTGATGATGTTGGGTGGGCCCAACGAAAGCTTGGCTCATTAAATTTTTTACTATTTATTGCTTTCCTCTTGTTGATCGATATTTATTGGTTTTATCATATATATATGTATGTATGTATATACATATATGTATATGTATACACACACACGCACAGAGTGAAAGTAACTAATTCAAACACCAGGATAATATCAAACCAAAAACTGTTTAATACAAGTGCTGATATTATCCTGGTGTTCGAATTTACTTACTTTCATTGCATGGCTCTGCCCAGGATTCGTATTTTTAATATAATTAGACACACTCACACACACATATAAAAAACTGGGGGAGGAAAATACACACACACAAACACACACACACATATCCCTAAGGACAGCATTGTCTTCTAAACCAGTGTTTCTCAACTTTGACCATTTTAAGGCATGTGGACTTCAACTCCCAGAATTCCACAGCCAGCATTGAAGTCCACATGCCTTAAAATGGTCAAGGTTGAGAAACACTGGTCTAAACCTTTCTCATCCTGCTGTGACGAGAACAGCCCAAACGTATCCCCCTTTTTAATACTTACAGCAACTGTAAGGAAGGCAGGTGAGAAAACATTCTGTCTTTTATTTCGGGAAAAGTTCCATTGACCAGGCTCCTAGAAAGAGACAGAAGGAGAGAAAAATCAGCAGGAGCCCAACTCAAGACTTGTTACTGTAACTTCCCCAGCCTGGGGCCTCCACATAATGGAATAATACGAGTTGGAAGGGACCTCGGAGGTCTTCTAGTCCAACCCCCCTGCTCAGGCAGGAAACCCTATACCATTTCGGACAAATGGCTGTCCAGTCTCTTCTTAAAAACTTCCATTGTTGGAGCATTCACCGCTTCTGGAGGCAGGTGGTTCCACTGGTTAATTGTTCTGACTGTCGGGAAGTTTCTCCTTAGTTCTAGGTTGCTTCTCTACTTGATTAGTTTCCATCCGTTGCTTTTTGTCCTGCCTTCTGGCGCCTTGGAGAACAGCTTGACTCCCTCTTCTTTGTGCAGCCCCTGAGATACTGGAACTCTGCTATCATGTCCCCCCTCGTCCTTCTCTTCGTTAAACTAGACATCCCCGATTCCAGCAACCGTTCCTTGTATGTTTTAGCCTCCAGTCCCCTGATCATCTTTGTTGCTCTTCTCTGCACTCTTTCTAGAGTCTCAACATCTTTTTTACTTTGTGGTGACCAAACCTGGATGCAGTATATTTCAGGTGTGGCCTCACTAAGCTTTCTAAAGCGGTACTAATGCTTCCCGTGATTTTGATTCCACGCCTCTGTTTACGCAGCCCAGGATTGTGGTTTTTTTGGCTGAGAACTTCTTCAGCTAGAAGTTTTTTGCTTAAAAGGGGACTTTTTAGTTCTAAAATACAGAAACATTTGAACGCCCCTGGCCTTTGGGAGCAGGCATGGATTTTCCTGGAGCTGCCCTGCGCCACCACTGGCCGCCCCATCACCTGAGCGAGAGGAAGATGGAAAGCCCTTCGGAGCCGAAGAATCTAGGGGACCCAATCCTCTGTGTGTGTGTGTGTGTGCGCGCGCAAATCCCTCCTTTGTAGCCCCTGCCTCACCCTCCCCTCCTTTGCCTTCCCACGTGGGGGTGGGGGTGCAAAGTTGCTGGGCCCCCCTTTGCAGCCCCTGCCTCGCCCTCCCCTCCCTCCCCAGGCGGGGGTGGGGGTGCAAAGTTGCTGCCCCCCCTTTGCAGCCTCCCCCTCCCCTCCTTTGCCTTCCCACGCGGGGGTGGGGGTGCAAAGTTGCTGCCCCCCCTTTGCAGCCCCTGCCTCACCCTCCCCTCCCTCTCCAGGTGAGGGTGGGGGTGCAAAGTTGCTGGCCCCCCCTTTGCAGCCCCTTCCTCCCCTCCCTTGCTTCCCACGCGGGGGTGGGGGTGCAAAGTTGCTGGCCCCCTTTGCAGCCCCTGCCTCGCCCTCCCCTCCCTCCCCAGGTGAGGGTGGGGGGTACAAAGTTGCTGCCCCCCCCCTTTGCAGCCCCTGCCTCACCCTCCCCTCCCTCCCCACGCGGGGGTGGGGGTGCAAAGTTGCTGCTGCCCCCCCCTTTGCAGCCCCTGCCTCACCCTCCCCTCCCTCTCCAGGCGGGGGTGGGGGTGCAAAGTTGCTCTCCCCCCCCCCTTTTGCATCCCCTGCCTCGCCCTGCCTGCCACTTACAAGGAGCCGATGTCTCCGGCGAGGCTCCGCGGCACGCTGGCCGAGCCCACGCAGATGACGGACTCCTTGGTGCAGCTGCAAGTGGCCGGGCAGCGGAGCAGCTTCCTCAGCTGGGCGCGCTGCACCAGGCACGCCGCCCCCGCCAGCAGCACCAGCAGCAGCCGCGGCCAGAAGGAGCCCCCGCCGGCCATGGTGCCCGCCTTGCAGCCGCAGCCGCCTCCTCCTTCTCTGCTTCGGGCTGAGCGAGGCTGCTGCAGCCGCCGGTGCTGCCGGGCTGGTAGTTGCTGCGAGTGGCTCGCCAGCCAGGCAGCATGCTGCAAAGAGGGCTCGGCGGAGCCGCTCCCAGCTCGCGCTTTCAGCTGCGGCTGCGGCGGATTTCAGCTGCGGCGGCGACGGCAGCCAGGCCGGCAGCCGCGAGTCGCTCTTGCAAAAAGAGGTTTGCAGCTGCCGGCAGCTGCTGCTGCGGCTGTGGCTGTTTGCGGCGGCGCTGCTGCTGCCTCCCCGCCTTGGCTTTTCCGCCTCCCCCCCCCGCCCCTTCTCCTGAATTATTCAGCTCTTTTCCCGAAGCTCCGTGGAAAAGAGCCCCTTCGCTTGTTGCAAGGAGAAGGGGCGCTGCCTGCCTGCCCGGGTTTTTTGTTTTTTGTTTTTTTAACCCGAGTCCAACCTGGCGAGGGACGCTTTTCGCTTAGGGAGCTCTGCCCCCACCCGCACCCCGCGAGGGAGGGAGGGAGGCTGGGCCAAGCAAGGGGTGGTGAAAATGAGAACCCAGCAGCATAGCTGTGGTGCCACTTCCCCCCCCGACCCCCCTCCCTCCCCCCCCGTTCTGGTTGTGCATCTGCAGGGGTGAGAATGGGGTGAGGACATCTGGAATGGGATGGAATAGAATAGAATAGAATAGAATAGAAATTAGGAAATGGGAATAGAATAGAATAGAATAGAATTTAGGAAATGGGAATAGAATAGAATAGAATAGAATAGAATAGAAATTAGGAATAGAATAGAAT